TTTATAATAAAATTTATGTATATAACATTTATATAAAATGACGACTTTGATCTATTAGTGTCATTTGTGAAAGTTATTTGTTGCTAAGTCAATGATATAAATTTTACAGTGTAATGTCTCTTTAATGTGACCATATGAATAATCTAAAATAGTCTCAATATTCTACAATACACATCTGGTACCTTATTCACAAATACTTGAAATAAAATACTTAAAGAATGTAGACTTTTTATTGGCTTAAAACTAAAATCTCTACTTGGATTACAACTCTCAGCCAATGAAAATTCTGAAACCTTAAATTATTTTAATTCATGTTTTTGTGACTAAATCCACTGGTCTAATACAGTGTAAACCATCACACATAAATTACCCCTCTCACCCTTATCTACAAAACTTTTTCAACAAACAGATTAACCTTAATTCCTCTGATTGTACAGAAATTATAACTGAGATTTTTATGTATATATAGAGGATATTTGTCGTTTTAGAGTGAATAACATGTTTTATTTCATGGAGAAGCAAGAAAACTTATATTTTCACGAATGCGTAGCATGAGTGAAAATATAAACGTTTTCTTGCTTAGAGATGAAATAAAATATGTTATTCACGACAAAACGACAAATGTTCTATTTATTTTATGATTTTACAATCATTTTAGGTAAAAACAACATGGACTACTTTGTCCGCTTGTAGCCAGTGGAATAACACTTTTATTTCACTGATAAAACGCGGTATTCCACTACTGATCATAAAATAAAAAGTTAGATTTCTATTTAAATATTATTTCCTATATATTTTAGTATCCATAGATACTATCATTACATATATTTCTAATTAAATATTTTACATAGTTATATAACTGAATAGTATTAACTTTGTATATATGTGAATAGTTATATAACTGAATAGTATTAACTTTGTATATATGTGAATAGTTATATAACTGAATAGTATTAACTTTGTATATATGTGAATAGTTATATAACTGAATAGTATTAACTTTATATATAATCAGGAATATGTAGGTATATGAAAAGTAATAATAGTATTTAACTTTGTATATAATCGTGACAAAACATCATGCTGAATAGTATTAACTTCATATATAATTTTGAATAGGTAGATATCCATGCATACTGAATAGTATTAACTTCGTATATAATAGTAGGCCTATTAACTTTGTATATAATCGTGAATATGTAGGTATATAAATATACTATATCAACTGTATAAGTAATCATCAATAGGTAGGTATATATACCATACTCTATTGTATGTTTGTTAATATATATAGACATGTTTACTTTCCTGATCACTTATAGTATAGATATATTCATGTTTATTATTATATTTTTCTAATTAAATACTTTATGTACCGGTACTACTAAAACATTTCACTTGCATTATTTTATGAAATTATCAGTGTAACTTTCAAAAATTGATGAAAAGTGTCAGGTTATTTCAATAATTTGCTTGCGCGTAGGGATCTTTAGCAGTGGGAGAAAACCGGAGGACCAGGAGAAAACCCACGAGACTGGATAGGCGGCCCCACTCCTTGTCACGTTCAACTGGGGAATTGGAAAAAAAAAATAATAATTAAAAAAATCAGTTTTAATCAAAGTGAGAAATGGGGTTTATCATCCACTGGACACCAACTAGGTCAATTCTGATTGAACTAATATATGGTGCACTTTTATTTAAATTATTGGCTTGCTCATAAGGGGGTCTTTAGCAGTCTTATGATGTAAAGTGTACACGTCAGACCACTTGACCACCTAGGGACATGCTAATTGTAGGCCGGTTGCGGAGATTCGTGTGTTTCCGCAGTCCAAAATGCCCGCTTTATATAAATGAGAATTTTGGGTAATACTAACCCTAACCCTTTTTAGAAGACTGAACTTTGATCCAATTTACCTATTACCCCTCTTAAAAAGGTTAGGTTTAGGGTTCGGGTTAGTATTCCCCAAAATACGCATTTATAAAGCGGCCATTTTGGACTCCGGAAACACCCGAACCTCCCCAACTGGCCTACAATTAGCATCTTCTGACCACAACCTTGTGACTTGTTAGAATGTCTGTTGGTGTATTCAACACAATTGATAGGTGAACAGGCATCCGCTGAGAGACAGGTAAACAGGTATCCACGGAGAGACAGGTAAACAAAGCAGGAATGAAGACACAATAGAGATATTTAAAATTACTAACTAAAATCTACAAGCTGATTATAAAACTATGAAATATATACATTATATATCTATATAAAACATAACAATATATTATCATACATGTATATACAAAATATACTCATATATATATATATACACAACTTTACATATAATCAATATATATATATAGATATAGATTTTATATATATAGGAATATCTGAACAGCTCCTTTCCAAAACTCTATAAGCTCCATTCAAGCATGTCTTTTTTCAAAAAGAGAGAGAGAGAGAGAGAGAAATGGGGTTTAAACGACCACTCGACACAAATTTGGTCATTTCGGGACTAGAGAGAGAGAGAGAGAGAAATGGGGTTTAACGTCCACTCGACACAAACTAGGTCATTTCGGGACTAACATATGGTTTAATTTTATTTCAATAATTCGCTTGCGCGTAGGGGTCTTTAGCAATGGGAGGAAACCGGAGGACCCGGAGAAAACCCACGAGGCTGGACAGGCGACCCTACTCCTTGCCACCTACAACCGGGGATTCGAAACCACGCCAGTCGACTCAATGACAGACTTTATGATACAGCGCGCGCACGCTAACCATTCAGCCATCCAACCCCCCCATTTCGGGACTAACATATGGTTTAATTTTATTTACTCGTAGAGGTCTAAAGCAGTGGGAGGAAACCCGAGGACCAGGACAAAAATCATGAGGTTGAACAGGCGACCCTACTCCTTGTCGCATACAACCGGGGAAGCAAAACCATGTCAATTGACTTAATGATCCATTTACTTGATTTGAACGTTGAATTAAATAATATTTTATTCAGATAAGATTAATGTTAAGTACAAACATTGTGAAAAATGTATGAATAAAAACACAAGCCAAAGGTTTATATCAATTCGTCTTATTGATAATCATAATACAAAATATGATTACAATGTCTGCGTTCTTGTCTTTTGGGTTTCTAGTTAATTGTTACTCTGTGGTATAGACCATTAGAGTGGTACATGAAATTTCCACAATTCTTTTTGGCTTACAATGTTCGTGTGTTTGTGTTTTACTTGTTATTCTGTAGTGAAGACCATTGGGTACTTTAAATTCCCATAATTTTGGCATCGTGCTTATCAAGTTTTGTAAAAGAGCTGTTCACATAGAGAGATAGATATTGGTATAATTACATGAACAATAACTTTGGTTTTTTCTACAATCGTATTAAATAACAGTATTATTATTATGAGAAGGAATAAAGGTAGGTAAATAAATATCATGGGACAACAATCATTATTAAAAGTTGAGTTTATTCGAATTAAATGTCTGACAAAAAATGGGGGGTTGGATGGCCGAGGCGTTAGCACGTGAGCGCTATATCATAAGGTCTGTCATTGAGTCAACTGGCGTGGTTTCGATTCACCGGCTGTATGTGACAAGGAGTAGGGTCACCTTTCCAGCCTCAGGGTTTTCTCAGGGTCCTCCGGTTTCCCCCACTGCTAAAGAACCCTACACGCAAGCGAATTATAGAAATAAGATTGAACCATGTGTTGGTCCCCAAATGACCTAGTTTGTGCCGAGTGGACCTTAAACCCCATTTCTCTCTCTCTGATGAAAAATGTTTCTAATAGTTGAGCACCACGAAGCTATGACCTGCTAAAATCTTATAATACACATTCTACATGATTTCGATATTGGCATCAATGGACATGATTACACCCCCCCCCCCTAAAAAAAAAAAATCAGCTTGTATATTTTTCTATATACACTCTACACAAATTAGGTCATATTGGGACTAACATCTTATTGGGATCAGTGGAGGAAACTGAAGGACCTGAAGAAAACCCACAAGATTGGACAGGGTGATCCTACTCCTTGTCATGTACAAGCTGAGAATTGAAACCACGCCACTGGACTCAATGGCAGACCTTATATGCTTTCAAGCTCACACCTAACACCATTCGGCTATCCAATACCCCGTATATATATCTTTAAAATACAGATGTGACGTCATCCTTTGATGTTGGCATATCATTATTTCAAATAATGGTACGGGCAGTGTGCCAAGCGTACATTATTTATACTAGTTGAAATTTTGGGCACGCATGACATATTTTATTGCAAAGCATGTGCGAGTGTCTATATATTACTTAAAGTTACAATTTCATATTTTCTAAGAAGGTCAAAACATAATTATTTCTATGTCTTTTGCTCAATAGGTTGTCAACTCACTATTATACGATCATAGGTTATCTTTCTCCCACTTAAAAACTTTCACACAGGAAATAATAATACACTTACCTCCCTTGTATTTCTATTCCCCACCATGGAATAGCTATCTTCAAACGTTTGAATTTGAAGTTAAAAATGATATTTTTGCCAATTTCTCAACTGGCAATAGTGAATTATAGGATTAATAGGTTTATTCTTTAACAAGGTAGGACTGTTGATATATACCATCTATTTTAGGGCTTTATTTTAATACATTTTAAAAATATAACTTAAAAATATGAAATTGTAACTTTAATGTCTCGATCTCGACCATTAAATCACAGCTACATGCTAATCAATATCCACAGGAAGTTATTCCTTACTCTTATTCTTTAATTAATGGTCATATAGCTATGTTCTTTGGAACCTTAAAATATACGAAAATGGCTCAAAAAGTAGATTTTAATGTAATATGAATCTATATAAATCTGTTAAAAGAACACAATTTTTATGGGAAACAATCACTGGTTTATTCTAAAAGTATCCTCTTATCGTTATCGTTATCATTGTGCTTGATAACGATAAGAGGATACTTGTCGAAACGTCGTGCTTTTAGAATAAACCAGTGATTGTTTCCCATAAAAATTGTGTTCTTTTAATGTGTTTTCCAATCGCTAAATGCCACTTAAAGATTATATATAAATCTGATTTACATTAAATTTTCTAAATCTAACTGTAATTTCTAATCAGTTATGTTAAGTGAAATATGTTAGCAGTCCAAAATGAATGCTAGTCATTTGCATCCGTTGACAACTTTTTCGTAGGTGGATCAGCCATTTTGAATTACTTGCGCAATGACTTGTGCGGTATGTTTTGCTTTGTTCATTACGAATTGCGCTCATAGACCATAGAGACGGACATTGTCTCCCAAATATTGGATATCAGGATCCTAGATTTTCACGGTAGGATAACAAAATTGGACCAATATTGAGTTCTAAATCGTGTTTTTAATATCGAATATTATTGATAATATTGGGTGAGAGTTATATGCCCTTTAACATTTCAACTTGAAAACCATGATAAAGGTAATATCCAAATCATAATACTATAGCCAACAAATCTACCACTATAAAGTGCCAAACAATATATTGTAACATTTTGTCACAGCAGTGGAAGAATACAATAAATACTACATAAGCAATTTTCGTGAAAATAAAATAACATCTAAAATAAACACTAAAAATTCTAAATTTCAGGATTCAAAATATAAAATCTTGCCGCCATATCAGGATTGGGGAATTCAAACTATTCTTAGAAATTGCCAAATTACTAGCTAACTTAATCACATGTCAGTGCTAAGTGAGTCTGGATTGGTTAAGCTATTTGTCAGATTGTTTTTCTTTTCCCGAATGGTACTTGTGCTACTTGAATGTCCCAAAAATCCCACACTATCTGAATGATTGCTTGCCGAATCATCTGAGCTGTTAGAAACAGTCATGTTACTTTCATCATGCAAGCTAGCACTCTTCTTTACCATTGGCTGCAGCTCGATTGAGTCCACAATTTTCGACGGGTTTCGCGACACAGCCACATTAACAACGTCACTGCTCAAAGAATCGCCATTTTGAGTAGCCGACGATGACTTCATACTAGCATCGGAATCCTTTCGCATGTCCTTTCCTCTTAATTTATCCTTCTTACCCCCTTTACCAAAATTAGGGAGTCCTGGAATCTTAAAGTTATGTTTACTGCTCTGGTTGCTTGGTGTGTTTGATTGGCCATCGCTACCAGTATCTTCATCGATCGATGCTAATTTATTTGACGATGTTTCGGTATCTTCTACGACTGGGATATCATCTACAAAATATACAGAAAAATTGAAAATTAAATATATTTTATATGTAGTAAATCTTATTTAGTTACTCTAAACAGCAAAACAGAATCAAGAGAGTCGAGGCATTTTCATAATGTTGAGTAATATCTCGAAAATAATATAAGATTTTGGTATATCTTTAAACGACTTCAAGAAAATGTTTATCATAATAAAATGACTAATTCCTGCAGCTTTGCTAATTTTGATACGCAAAAGCAAAAACGGTGACTTAATCTCTCCAGCAGTAGCATTTAATTCATTCGCTAATTAACAATTCACAATTTTTTTAAACATAAAAACTATTTGGAAACTGAAATAATGGGATGAGGCATTCAGAGGTTACTCATAGCTGGCTGACTAGTTGATGCTTAACCTCTGCTTCCAGGGAGAAAGGGGGGCAAGGTGGGGGGGGGGGGGAGAGAGAGAGAGAGAGAGAATGGACACAATTTAGGTCATTTCTGGACAGGCTGTGGGAGAGAATAGGAAGACTCAGACTAAACCCACAAGGTTTGGCCAGCGAACCTACTACTTGTCACATACAAGTTTGAGACCAAAACCAAGCCACCTGACTCAATAATGGACCTTATAATGTAAAGCGAATGCATTAGAGCACACTACCTCAAATCCCCGCCCCCTCAAACCCCATGGATATCTTTTGACTCAGCTAGAGCTTCTACTTCCTTCATTGGTACTCCCCAACACTGGGACTGGAGGATCTTCATGAAACTGAAGAACCAGGAGAAACAAAGCCAGATAGCCACTCCTCTCTTTTAAAAGTTTAAATCGTCAACCAAAATAACACAACCGTTACAAAACCTCTGTGGTAGGCATTGATTTACAAATATAAACATCAAACCATCTGACAAGAGACATCATCTTAAACTACTTTTACACTGGATGGTGAAGTTAAAAAATACTAAAATGTCTAAATAAACAACTCAACTAAATAAACATACGCATTATATTTAATAAATTTATTGTTCAAGGTCAAGATTGATGGGAAGAAGGTCATCGGGTCACTGGTACAGTTTGGATGCTCGACATTCCAGAGGTCTGGGGAGAAACTCGGTCAGCCATGGGAGTAAAAAGAGTAAAACAGTATTTTAGAAACAGATCAATTTCTTGTGTTATAAATCAAGCGAGGGTAAGAATAACAAACTATAATACAGTTTTCCATTGACATAACCTTAATATATCACTTTCTATGACAACTGGAAACAAATGGTCTGAATATTGTTACATGTAAAAACAAAATAAATCGTAAATTGTTACAAAATTCAACAATCTTTTTGTAAATACTTTTTGTTGTTTCAACAAGGTCAAGGAATTTGTCTAATATTATTAAAAAAAACATCAACTCAAAGATTTTTATGCTGTTCCATAACTTCTTCCTCTCTAGTTGATGTTATTATGAAATGAAATTGTGTTTTACGTCCTGCTGTTATCGACCATGAAGATGTGCATATGTCATGCGGTGTTCTAGGAAGGAAATTTTACTAGGCAGTGGTGCTACATCCATCTCTTATTTTTAATTCCAATCGACTTAAGCCTCGATTTGCCATTTTCAAATTGAATCATTAAATGGCGACCGTGTTTCAATCCGTTTAAATCTCTGCAATCAGATGTTCTAGACTAGTCATGTGAAAAATCCATTATTTTTAATTCCAATCGACTTAAGACTTGATTTGTCATTTTTAAATTGAATCATTAAATGGTGACCGAGTTTCAATCCCTTTAAATCTCCGCCATCCGATAGTCTAGACAGTTGATTATAGGCTAGTCATGTGAAAAATGTCTAAATAATAACTTAGCTGATTTAGCTCTTACAAAATGCATCTTTATCCCGTTTTATTTAATTATCTTAAATCAATTTACTGGTAAAGTGGGACTGGTTAATAACTCAAGGTCGTGTTTAATGCATATTTTTGAATTTTTAATTCAATTTAATCATTCATGCAGACTAAATGCATATTTTATGAAATTTCTGATTCAATTTATTCATAATTTGAGAAATATAAATACGGGGACTACAGAAAAGTTGGTCATTTCTTGAGAAATTCTAAAAAAAAGTGGATTTTAAAAATATATTAGTCTGAAATTTTCAACTCCACCCAAAATCTACTGAGAATAAGGTTAGTAAGTTAATAGAAATGTCAAAACACCACTTTACCATTTATTGATGGTTTTTAACTTTTTTGTTTATTTTCACACATTTATTATAATTTTTAAATATTTTTGGATATCAATTTGCATGTTTCCCCTGGTGTAAACTAGTTTTCTTGGTAACTGAAAGCGCATTATGGCTGTATTTATTACGGAACTATGTTAAAGTGGAAAATCTGTCACATAACAATGCTTCTATATTAATCATATATAAGCTTTCATGTGAATCAATTAAGTTTTAATTTAAGTAAACATATCATCTATTTTAGTTTTTATTTTGTTGCGCTCAAATCAGAAGGAAACCGAATCTCAACACAGATCAACAACTGTTAAAGATACATTCCCGCTTACAAACTTTGTGATTTGATGATATATTTGGACTAAAAACATATTCAAAGTAACCAATCTATCAAAAATTTGCTTCAATTCCCTCCCAAAACTTTGTAATCGCCGGGGATACCTATAGCTATAAGTAAGCTGTTGTTAGAAGCAATGTCTGTCAACTTAGCTTCATTGTGGGAGGGTCCATTTTTCAGAATGTATTTATCATTACTTACGGTACATTTACCATACATATTGAAGCCTAAGTAAATTTTTAATTATTTCTATCAACTTCTTTTTCTGAAGTTTATTTGAATAACAATCACTCCCTCACTTAAGCCGGCACACAATAAGCTGACAGATAACAATCAGGCTGCCAGTTAGGGATACCCTGACAATTTTGACCAGTGCTTGCCCCATGGGCTTTTTTCGGGTAATCCAGTATTTTTCTATTAAGATTGGGTGTCTATACTTTCCATATATACCAAATTTGACATACTTTTATTGGAAAGAACCACCCAATAAATACGTTTCTGGGAAAGTATCTTTAATAAGTTTACATACTTCCTGTATTATAAATATCAACATTATTCTAGGAAATAAAATGATGTTTAAGTCCTATTTTTCTCTACCAATTAAAGATCACTGTAAAAGCTTCATAAATTTTTTAAATAATGCAAAGTATTACGTCAACATATCGTTTCCATAAGTATAACACAAAACCCGAATGTCAATGATACCTGCCACAGGTAGATTTCCGCCGTCTTCCGTGAGTAGTGGTAACTTCCCACCAATAAACGAGCTGTGACGTAATTTTAGTCCTGCTCATAGAAATATAGACTAGAATATAAGCCGTTGAAATTTACCTGTTTCAGGTAACATTGACATACTTATGGAAAGGATATGTTGACATAATTCCTTGCATTATTGCCAACACCATGATGTGTGCTATGAGGAAAATTTTGCCCAAACAGAGAAGCACTGCATAACGGTACTCGTATTTCAAATGAGAACATTCAAGGGTTCTTTTATGGCATCCTATTGACTTAGACACTGTTTTATTTGGGAACAAAACTGATCCTAAAACATATTGATGTACCATGGGCAATATGTTTTTGTAGGTAATTAAATGAATCAGGAATATAATATTACCTGGAAGTTTTTTAGTTCTAAAGGAAGCATTTGTTATCGCTGATTTAGCCAGTGATGTAGATGATGATGTATTGGTTGATGATACTTTTATTCCCATCAAGCCATCAACTGGTTGTCCTGTAGGATTCACCTTCAATGAATTACGAATGGCACTCGTCACCTGAAAAAAAAAATAAATACACAATGTTTAAACATTAAATCAAATCAAGACAATGTAAAATGTAATCAAATTCTGAAAGGGTTAAGAAATTAGTGCTAGATGCTTTTTGTTGCCTGGCAATCTATCATATATTTGTTTTTCAAAGTTATTTATTGGTAATCCAATGGCATGTTTGACTGCCTCACTAACTAGGAGGTCCTGGACTCATTTCCAGTGATTGTGGCTGATAAAAAGTTACTCTGGATTTTCAATTCAGGTTTCCCCTGCAAGTGATGCAGGGTGGTGGGCCTGGTTTCCCCTTGCCAGGATGCAGGATGGTGGCCCTGGTTTCTCCTTGCCAGGATGCAGGATGGTGGCCCTGGTTTCACCTTGCCAGGATGCAGGATGGTGGCCCTGGTTTCACCTTGCCAGTGATGCAGGATGGTGGGCCTGGAAAGGTAATGCGTCTGGTCATTCTGATAAAATAGAAATCTAAGGTCTGATGTACGCAATGGAGTGTAAATAAAACAACCTTTGGCAGTTAAAATTGTACGTGGTAAGCGGAAACCCTACTATTCGTGAAAAATTGCTCTCACCGTCACAGCACACTTTATGATGTATCCCAGCTGATACAGAAAAGTAACACCATTTCATTTTATTTGTAACAGATCACTACTACCTTAAATATTTAAATATCAACCGGTTACTTGATGAACCCCATCCCCTCTCCTACATCCCCCTCCTTCCTTAATACTATATAGCAGATTTAGTTCATGTTAGCAACAATGGCTATTCTAATATGCTTTCATTGCCAAGAATCAGGTCCCAGTTTCACAAAGCATTCTCAGACTTAAGTTAAGAATTTACTCAACTTTCAATGACTGTTTACGAGAAATATCTTTGATCCAGCACGTTTCTTATTGATGTAATTGATACATTAAAACAACAAAAGTTTTATAGAGGGCTATAGTTTAGTTAAAAAAAAGACGAACAATTTTGAGTAAATTCTTAACTTAAATCGGAGAATGTTTTCGTGAAACTGGGGCCAGATTTCAGTCCAAAACAGTCAATCTTCTGAATCTAGATTTAATTGAACAGAAGACAGACAGTCCTATGATAACTTGTCAATAACTGTCATTTCCCTTGTAGGAAGATAAGCTTACACGAGATTCCCACATCTAGATTTTAATATAACAAACTGTAGGAAACAAACATAACCGAGAGACAATCTCAATTCGGATTCGCGGTAAACATACACACCTTAATAAATAGCTAAACGATGAGGTGTTTATATAAAATATTTATAGAAATTAGTACACATTTTCGATGCATTTTAAGATAACTGTCTCAGCTAGCACTACGGGGGAGCAGTCTTAAGAAAACTGTGAATCTAAGATGCACTGTATCTGATTTAAGGGAAGACAACGATTCCATTCATAACTATGTATATTATACGTGGAGCGGAAACTGTTCTACTGTAAATAATAATAAGATATAAAAGTAGAATAACAATAAGTTAGTACAGTTTACATCTGGCATGGCAATAGTATTGTAATAACCTCCTGCTAGTAATAATAATAATAATAGACTAGTACCAGTAAGACCGGAACTACCAGTAAACTAGACACTAGGTAACCCCCTCTTGCCCCCTGCTCATTATATATATATATACCGGTACATATACAAGGCACGTCTAAAAAAATGTTCTTGTTCTCAGATACCGTAATTAACCAGCGGTTGCCAAGCAAGATACCGCCCACATTTTGGAAGAGATGGATAGAGAACAAGCTAAAAAAAAACCATGATTTTTTTCATACAATTAGGGGCCAAAATCTAGTAAGTTATGGTCTGAAATGTGCGAATATCTAAAGGAACTGAGATCTTTGAGATATAAACATATATTAAGTTTCATCAAAATCGGACAAAAATTGTGACCGCTAGAAGGTCAACAACCTTTGTATTGCATACTTTTAAACTATTTGAGTATAAGATGCGGGTGGCCATTTTGTCGGGCAGTTTCGTTTTGATTTTCCCAAAATTTGAACTCAACCTCCAGAGGGTCCACAAACTAAAAATATGATTTTTCATACAATCATGGACCATAATCCCGGAAGTTATGGTCTGACAGACAGACAGATTGATAGGGGCGACGACAATGGAGGTAATTATATTGGATTATATTAAACGTGTCCAGTTGGAAATACAACTCTGATGAATGACAATTGTACATGGTACTGGAAACAGTAAATTAACCCAATGTTATTGGAAACTGACAACCATTGATTCCTCTGCTTTAATTTTTACGATTTGATAATTATCCTGCTGACTTAATGAAATAAATGCTCCAAAGACATAGAAAATAGAAGGAGCAGCATTCATGTTATATCTAATGCTTTCATCCGTAGTCTGAGAGGACAATTAGTTTACTGGTTATAGAAAAACTTGAATTCAGTTGTGCATAGTGTTTATATACGTAACATGAGAATCAGTTATTGAATTCCTGTAATGTCCTTTTTCATTTTAATTTTTATTGATATTCTTAAAATATCGGATACTAGTTCATTACAACTTAAATCAATATTGTTCGTACATGACAGAAACCACTGTGGCTCAGGAAGTTATGCTCTAGCTCACTAGAAAGGAAGTCTTGTTCTGACAGAACGTTCCTTGTTCAGTGTGAATTTTCCTTGTCGGTGGTGAAGGATGGAGGGTATGGCAAGAAACAATGTCTGAGCCCATACTCCATCTAGAACCCTGAGATCCTCTTCAAGTAACCTGCTTGTTAAACTAAAAACCAAGACAATCGCAGGAACAACAGTCCTTAGCTATGCTGCTCCTGAATTATGGAATAATTTGAATGAATCCCTGAAAAATGCATCATCATTAACTATGTTTCGAAAAAAACTTAAAACTGTTCTTTTCCAAAGTGCTTTCATGTGTTGATTTATATATTCAGTTTTTTTATATGTGCTATAATCACTTGTCTGTTTGTTTAAAATGTATTATATTTGTGTATTTTATTATTTTAATTTTTTATTTTACAAATTGTGTTTGTAAGGCCCCACTAAGCAACACTTGTGTTGGATACTCAGCGTTATATAAATGATAAATTGTTATTATTCATCAGCCCAAATCATGCAGAACAGTAAGACTTAGGTTAAAAATTTACTCAAAATTGTTCGCCTTATTTTAACTAAAATATAGCTCTTTATAAAACTTTTGTTGTTTTAATGTATCAAATACATCAATAAGAAACTATGTGCAAAGTTTTGTGTTTCTAGATCAAAGATATTCTCATAAAGAGTGTCTGAAAGTTGAGTAAATTCTTAAGTCTGAGAATGCTTTATGAACTTGAGGCCAGGTTTCAATCTTGATGCGCAATACATGGAAATTGTGTGCAATCTTTACATGGGAACAAAGTTGAAGTTAGTACATACTGATAATAATATGTAATTTTATGGTATACAGATAAAGTGGATACACACTGGTAATAATATGTAAGTTTATGGTATACAATAAAAGAGTGGGTACATATTGGTATTAATAGGAGCTACGGTCGCTAAGTGGGTAAGACACTGGCTCACTAGTTTGGAGATCGTGTGATCGATTCCTGCATTGACCGAGAAAGTTCATTAAGATTTTCCTGGCATTTGGATGGGACAAAAAACCGAGGCCTTGTGCTACATTGGAGAGCATGTAAAAAATCCCTTAGCAGTTGGAATTTGATATAGGAGTATGCTATAGTGCCGCTGTCCGATCAAAATTTCACTCATAACACACTGTATGGCATATGCCCATCTTCATTAGCACAGCCGAGGCAGAACAGTAGGACATTAAAACCCATTTCATTTCTGGTATTAATATGTAAGTTTATGGTAAAGAGAGAAAGTGGGTACACATGCTAGTTGATGGGTTTTTTTAGAGAGAAAGCTTTACACCCAAAGTCAGATGTGAAGTACCTGAACATATATAGACTCCCAGACAATAATTCCTATTTATATAACCCAATTTAATATAAGACCAAATGTTTTTAAATACATATTAAATCTTAACAACAAGTGCAAATAAAATGGATTCAAGATGTGGTCCTGTGTTTTATTACAATACTAATATTTAACTCAGACAGTCATAAACATGCAGTCAATATGAAATGAAACAAAATGAAATGGGGTTTAACCGGAGCACACTACTTTTCTGTTCCAACTGGGCTACTGAAGATGGGCCTACACCATGCACTTTGATAGGAGTGTAATTCTGTCTGGGTACACCTTAGTTTTTCGCCCCATTTGTTAATTAAGAAAAACACTAAATTGTAAAAAAAAATTGAAACTATAGGGCTTTCACTTTAAAATTTTTACCCGTTAGTCAATTTTTGACATAGTCTACCTCGCAGTAGCAACATATTTTTTCCAAAGAATGGCAATTTTTAGCATTATCCCAATTTTTATACATAACAACTTTATTTATCATGTTTTAAGGTTAAATTCTATTTTCATTGCATGAATATTATCTTTCAGGTAAATTCTCCAAATGCTAGATCATTTTCACTGCCTATAAGTCAAGATTCACAAATATGTCGGAAACAAGCTAAAAGCGCTAATTGAAACCCAAGTTTTGTGTAATTAAGAAAAACAAAATGATTTTAAAATGTTGATCAAGGTCTATGTCTGTAAGGTCATGGATGGTAGCTAGGGGGAGGATGTGATGTAGTGTTGTTGATGTATATAATTGGTAATTAAGACAGTGAGGGCAGTAAACACAGGTTAATTATAGCTGAATCCCACAGTTTAAAATAACAAACAAGACAATGACCATTTACAGATGGTACAGAGATAGAATAACATGACTATAGTCTACAATGTTTACGTCTGGTCGATCAGATGGTACAGAGATACAATAACATGACTATAGTCTACAATGTTTACGTCTGGTCAATCATAGCTCCACACAGATTTCTCCTGATAGTTCTTTTATACACAGTTCAATGTTCCTCACAGCTGCACAAAATTATAAAAAAATATTTCTGCCACTGATTGGGATTCAATAAATGGCAGGAGCATTTAATCTATACAGAGAATGGAATGGGTCATAAACACAAAACTTCGGACATTTTGAGGAAAAATATGGGGTGAATTCTTCTACGATCTCGTGTACAATGTTAGGGAAGTGAATTTTTCCTTGACAGCTGCGTAGCCATCTACTCTTCATCAAATTGTTACTGTTCACACCAACAGGTATACGAGTCGCCCTTGGTTCTTACCTGAACAGGACCAACACATGGTTCAATTTTATTTCAATAATTTGCTTGCACGCAGGGGTCTTTAGCAGTGGCAGGAAACCGGAGGAAACCCACGAGGTTGGACAGGCAACCCTCCCCTTGTCACATACAACTTATTTTTTGAGGTGGCAGCCCATATATTCTTGCGGGAAAGGAATTAACAGTCAGTTTAGGTTCGAAATCGTAATTTACTCCGAAACGAGTCGGTTGGTGACTTGATTGATTGCCCGTCAGTCCGCCCACCTAGGGCCGGGCTTCGCACTCCCAAGGGGGGGCAGCACTCCATCCCCTCTTTCTGAAAATCCTGGATCCGCCCCTGGTTGTTGTAATTACACTTTTAATGTCCAATACATAAA